CGTCGCCCGGCTCGATGTTGTCGGCGGCCAGGCCCCGGGTGAAGACGGCCGCCCACTCGCGCTGCCGCGAGGCCACGCGGTTCAGCGTCGTGGCCGAGATCTGGCGCTGCTCGTAGACGTCGGTCAGCACCTGCTCCATGATGGCGAGCAGGTCGCCGCAGGCCGAGTAGTCGTCGGGCCCCGCCGTGTCGCGCGTCTCCTTGGTCGCGGGCGGGCGGCCCAGCAGCGCGCTCGAGAGGATGTCGATGCTGCGGAGGGACTTCCAGATGCGCTCGCGGCGGCGGAACTCGTCGGCGGGGGAGAGCATCGACACGGCCTTGAGGCGCAGGCCGAGGGCGTAGGCGGGGCGCACGGCGAAGCCGAGGTGCATAAAGGCGGCGTTGCGGCGCGAGGCGGCCAGCAGGTACATGGCGATGAGGATGTAGGCCTCGACGGCCAGCGTGCTGGGGTCGTCCATGAGGTACCTGGCCGACAGGTAGCGGCCGTAGTTGAAGCACGACTCGGCCACCTCGCCCAGGTCCTTGGGCGACGACTGGGCGCCGAGGGCGAGGATGAGGTAGACGACGGGCTTGGCCAGCGGCAGGGCGACGGCGTCCCGGGCGAGGGCGCGCGGGACCTGGTCCAGCAGCACGGGCTTGTCGTACAGGTCGAGGATGCCGTTGGTGCACAGGTAGAACTGGCGGGCAAAGTGCCTGGCCTCGTCCTCGGTCAGGGCGGGCGGCGACTTGTGGTCGGATCCGGCGTCGAGCCAGGCGGGCGCGCCCTCGGGCGAGGCCTCGACCATGGCCGGCCGCAGGGGATCGTCGACAAAGGGGCCCGGCCCTTGGGTCTCCCGCACCAGGCGCCGGATCGACTGCAGGAAGGACGGGTTGGCCGAGTCGCCCAGGTACATGAAGCGGCCCTTCTTATCGAGGATGAGGCGCGACTGGTCCAGGGGCGTGGCCGCGGGCGACGAGTCGGCAATGTCAATGGTGACGGACGGCGGCTCGACCGAGGAGCGGCCTCGCGAGCTCGAAATCGAGCCGCCGCGGTGTCGAGCGGGATGCAGCTTGGCCGCCCGTCCCCCGTGCTCCGTCTCGTATCGGCACTCGTTGTGAACTCGCCGCTCGGTGCACCGGCCGCAGGGTTGCCGTCCGTCGCATCGCTCTTTGCGCCTCTTGCACCTGCGCCGGGGGAAAGGAGTGTAAGCGTGACGGCAACATGGACGCGGCGAGTGAGGGAAGGGGGGGAAGTCAGATTTACATGTCACATGCTCTGCTGCATCTCTTTCGCGCGGCCATCTGGTCATGACGCTGTTGGGATCGCATGTCTGTATGCTGGAACCCGGGTATATGTACACGGTAGGCTATGACGTAGGTGAGGGAGAGGGATGAATGGGGTGAAGAAATGATTCACAAAAAAGGGACTGGCAACGGCAAATCGATCTTGTACGGATCCCGCAGGCCGTCGAATGTCATGCTCCAGATGTCGTGGGATGAGCAAGCAAGCGACCGTGGATTAGCAAACAGACTGTCGCGCGGGGTCCCAGGTCGGCTGCTTGATGCCGCGCCGTCATGGAGTCGTGATCGAAAAGTCGAGTTGCAAAACGTGGGGTAGTTGGCGGTGGACGGGTTTGAGTTTGTCGTCGTCGCAGGACAAGCCGGCATCCTGGCACATGGACATGATGCAAATATGGAACCGCGCGCCATCTTCAGGCCCCAGGTCGGCGGCCCACAATGCATGTGGCTTTCTTTGCTGATGACATGGAGGAATGCGGCGTCGTCATCTTGAACCAGCACATCTTGGTTGGCTTGCATGTGGCACCGTGCGTGGCAGGTCGTGCCAACTGACAATGCTTTTGTGGCAGCTGTACGACTCGTCGGCATGACCTGGCGTTGCCCAACATTGAAGACATTAATGTTCCTCCTCCTTCCCCGCGTTGGCTGGCTTCCATGTTTCAAAGAGACCAGTTGACTGGACTTCAATTCCACCCAGGCCCGACGACACGGCCACATCCTCCCATGATTCCTACACCGTGTTGCATCTCACCCGTCGCCAGTCAATGCTGCCAGGCGGTGGTGGGCAGGACTCCATGTCTGCATCCGACGGCTGCCGAAGCTGCTTCCGACGAGACCAGAGCGTTCCGATGCCGGACTGGGACGGGAAACGGCGGGGGGTCCAACGCCACGCCGCCCAGGCATGGGTTAGGGGAACGCCGCCATGGGCATCATCGAATTGATCATCATTCATGTTTGGACTTGGGACGTCATGTAGTATGTATGCATGTATAGTACATGTACCAGTGCTTGTTACGTCGACGACGTGGAAACATGAAACTTGACACTATGACCGAGTTGTTCCCCTGACTTTCAGGCCTTCATGTGGCATCAGAGGCAGCAACTCGGCCTCGCTACAGATACATCGGCCAACAAGGATCCGGCCCTCTTTGAAACTAATTTGAACCTGCCAAGCTGCCTGGCCCTTTCATCTCTGGCACTTGTGCCTCTTGCCACCAGACGCAACATGATGCTGCGGTCCCCAGTCTACAACGGATGGCGCCGGTCATGTTGACCAAGCCACCGACTCATTTCAAATATGGCCATCAACGCCGGTGACTCGCTTGCAGCAGCCCGCGATGACCAGACGCAACATCACTCCGTCGAGTCCTTCCAAACCAACACTGCCTTGAGCGCTACGCCGCGCTTGGTATCATCAATCGCCTGCTGAAAATCGCCAAAGTCATAGAACGTGACCAGCTTATCCACCGGGTAGTTTCCCTTGGCGTATTCGTCCATCAAGTACGGAATAATCTGGCTCGGTCAGCAATTGAACGCACCCGTGCCCCCCCTTTTGCGGCCACACAGCGCCAACTTGCCTTGCTGGGAATCGAGTCGCCCTCGCAACACCCGGAATAGCGTCTGCCGTGAATGACGTGGGCAAAGATGTCGACGCCCGTCTTGATCCCAGGCTACCGCGTCAACCGTCAGCAGCAACTCACCCGACAACAGTCGCAAGACTCACCGTCGGCGCCCCCACAGACGCCGCGTGCCCACGGCTCCCGAGAGCCTGAATCATGGTCTCGATGACGGCCGGCACCCCCGTGCAGTCCACGGCGTAGTTGACCCCGTTGGGAGGGGCCAGTTCCCCAATCTTGGCGACAATGTCGGGGTCGTTTCCGAGGAGTGTGTGCGTGGCGCCCAGCCGAGACGCCAGCTCGAGCCGCGACTTCTGGAGATCAACGGCGATGATAATCTTGGCCCTGCGCATCTTGGCAGCCATGATGGCGCTCATGCCCACGGACCCGGCGCCAAAGACGGCCACGCTGCCGCCGGCCTGGACGTCGAGCGTGTTCAGGACGGCGCCGGCGCCCGTCTGCAGCCCGCACCCGAGCGGCGCAAACAGGGCCAGGTCCGTCGTGTCCGGGACCTTGACCAGGCTGGACACGGACACGACGGTGTGCCTCGAGAAGGAGCTCTGCCCGAAGAACCTGCTGTACAGGGCCTGCCCGCCCTGTTCCTCTTGCCTGCGCATGGCGCTCGATCCATCGGGCCGCGTGCCGCCAAAGTTGAGCGACTTGAACGAGTAGCAATGCGCCGGGTGGCCGTCCTCGCACTGCGCACACTGCTGGCAGTGGGCGAAGGAGAGCAGCACCTTGTCACCCACGGCGACGTGTCGGACCTGCGAGCCAATCTCCTTGACGATGCCGGCGCCTGCGAGGTCTGTTACTACAACGGAACTGGCGCGTGGAAAAAGACACAGATGCTGCGTGTGGCTCGGGTACCTTCGTGGCCGAGGACGGCGGGCGCAAACGCAGGCAGAGTCCCGTCGGCGCATGACAGATCGGTATGGCAGATGCCGCTGGCGTGTATTTCGACGAGAGCCTCGTCCGGGCGCAGTGCGTCCAGCCGCACCGTCTCGAAACTGAACGGGGCGTTGATTTCGCCGAGCACGAGCGCCGTAGTCGTTGCCATTGTGTAAGCTGGCCTGTAGGGACGTCAAGATGGGAATCGGGATGAAACAAGATTGGCAACTTGATGTAGTTGCATATATATTGCCACTTTCCTGAATCCTGACGATGCGACGCTTACTTATCCTCGGGGCAGGCTGGATCTGAGCATCTGTCCCCGGGCCCCATTTGGCCCAATTGATCTCATCGGAACCCCCGCGTGCCGGCTGAACGGGTCTGGTGTGAATAACTTACGCCGATCCAATAGTAGCGAGGTCCGAAGTCTTGGAACCGTTGTAACTGCCGCTTTGTCGAAGCGTAAAGCTACATGTACAGACCCCGCCGTACATGTTGACAGGCAAAACTAGTGGTGACTGGACGTTGAAACGGCAGGATTACCCATCTCTTACAAACGCCGCCCGGCGTGGGTGGGATGACCGATGACGGCGACGGTGACGCTTCCCCATTCTCTTCCGAGAGCCGAATGCTTGTCATGCCTGATGTCTAGATTTTGTTAGTATATTCAACGTTGTCATTTCCCCATGCGACAGTAGCCAATCACATTCTGTCCACATGTATCTGGGGTTCTCCGTCAACGCTACCGAGTATTGGAGCGATCAATTGATGCCGTGCTCGGGCCCACGCGGCGGTGGCCTCGGCTTATTCTGTCCGGGTTGAACCGGACGGGCAAGGGTCCAGTGTCTCATTTGAGGTTGCAACACTTGAATGTTGTGCAAGTCCATCTTGACATGCGTAAACAAAGAGGCTCCTACCTGTCGACCAAGTTGCTATACCCGTGGAATACAGTATTGGGGTGAGCCGGTCGCAGCAAGTAGCCAAAATGGGCGAAACCCTGTCGCGGCCAATTCCGGCTCACGCCAAACAACTTGCCATATGCAAAGAAACCTGAGGCTGTTGCCTCTGGTCAGATGGACACGATACAAAAGATGGTGCCGCAGACTCGTTTTCGCATTCTTCGTCTTGACTTTTTTCCTTGCATTTTTTGACTGCATTGGACTCCATCTCACCGCCACTCATTTGCCGCCTCACATCAAGCACGCAGCGACAACGTGCGAACATTGAAGCCATCATGGCGGCCGTTGCCAAGGCGGCACAATGGGCGCCTAGATGGCGAGTCGTCCAGCATCCAAACATGAACGCACCGAGATTGCCGTCGGCCCTGCAAGCTGCACGGCGCGAATCGCCGTGTTTCAACATCAAGTCACCCGTGAACTTGTGGGCAAAGCCGTCGAGGCATTTTTCCATCCACCAGAAACCAAGCCGGCAACAGGGCGACAAGGCGCCGGCCGGAGAGCACGGCGGCCACAGCAACGGCACCGAGTTGCCGGCATTCAGCCTACACGGTCTCGGCATCAGCAGAAACATGAAGCTGGCCCTCGTTGGCATCCTTGGCATCTTTGGCGCCATGGAGACGTGGATGTACTGCAAGTGGATTTGGCAATGGTGCAAGGGTCAAGCCGACGATGAGCAGACGAGCAAGCCCGTCATGGGTCGCTGATGGTGACGGATTGGGATCAATGATGCATGTTGCGCCTTTTGGTAAAGAACCGTCAATGGCGACGACATTTGTAATAGTACACCAGAAAACCTGCTCTGTATGTATTCTAGATCAATCCCCCCCCGTGGTTCGCCTTCATGGCTCATGTATACAAGGCGCAGGATATGCGATTGTGTGAAAGACGTCTGGTTGACTGGGTAATTTGCAGTGCTTGTCCGCCTTTTCCTGCAACACTGCCCCTTCCGAGTGATTATCTGCACTGGTGAAGCAAGCAGGTGCATACATGACACCAACAGGATTAAGCCTGGTCGGACGATGCCGCCGAGCCGCACTGCAGCCCAGATATGCACACATGTAAGTACAACGGCATCCTCGTGGTGTTCATGTGGTGTCCAAGTTTGCGCGCAGTGTGAACCAACTGGTCTGGGCGTGAGGGCGCAATCGCCACATTCCAGTGGCACATGGCGACATGGAGCTGTCGGCACAATGCGACCGGGATTTCAGAGGTCGTGGACGATTTGATGCCATGCTTTGGCAACATGAAGACAATCACTTTGTAACTACCCGCCCGCGACTGGGTGGACGAGCCACTTTATTTACGTATCAACTCTGCCGACTTTGCGAAACATTGGGCATGGAAGCTACATGTACGAGCTCCGACAAAAAAGACTTGACATGACCAACAACTGCATTGACTGCAGTCCAGACTTGCGAGGCGCCAATTAGACTGTCCACGCCCAGCCCGCCCAGCCTGCATGGCCAAGCCAGAAGCTGAAATTCCAAATGGCAGCCAAGAAACGGCCAGAGGCACACAAGGCCTTGTCATTCGTACTCGGTGTGTTGGTGGTGTTCTTGATTGGCGTTTTTGCCCCCTCACCCAAGTCACCACCACATCCCACCGTTATAACCAAAGAGCCTCGTGACGACGCCGCCTTTTGGCTTGCACGGGTTGAAATGTCGACTGGCCCGTGGCCTCTTTCGGCCGCCAGAAACGACAATGCAACCGTCAAACGGGTCGACGCAACTCGGACGCGCTGCCTCGCCTTGCGTCTTGACGCGCAAAACACCGAGCCGACAGACGACTCGGCCATGCATCCACGCAAAGGATGAGACGATCCCATCTTGGCCCAGCCCATGTTCTTGCACGGTGCCGCGAGCATGTATCGCTATCCGCCGCCGGTGCCGGCCGCCGCGTGGCCTGCAACACCACGCCGAAATGCCTATCGGCTTGGTTTCCATCTGGAGCAGCACTTCAACGCCAAGATTTACACGTCCGGCTCGCCAGTCAGGGGCCACGTCCTTCTTCGCCCGGCCCAGGACATTGCCTACGACGATTTCGAGATTAGCCTCGTGGGCGTGAGCAGCACGCAAAACCTGCTGCAGCACGAGTCGGCCATCGTTGCCCTCCCCTTTATGAAGCTGGTCATGCCGCTGTGTCCCGACAGCCTGCCCGCCAGCAAGATATTCGCCGCGGGCCAGGAATACATCTTCCGCTTCCACTTTGTCCTGCCGTTCCACCTCGCCATCGGCTCCTGCCGGCACGGGTGCGTCTCGCCCGCCGTCAAGGAGCTGCACCTGCGGCCGCCGCCCACCATGGGATTCTGGGAGGGCGACGACCAGTCGCCCCAGATGACGCAGATCAAGTACGCCGTCGCCGTGCTGGCCACGAGACGCCTCCCGGCCGACCCCCTGCCGGCGCGGGTGATTGCCGAGTCGTCCATGATCCGGGTCCTGCCCGCGTTTCCGGAAGACGCCCCGTTGGACATCACCCCCGTCGACGACGGCTACGCCCTCTCGAGGAGCAAGACGATACGCAGAAACTTTGTCGCCGGCAAGCTGGGCAGGCTGACGGCCACGGCCGCCCAGCCCAAGGCCGTCATGCTGTCGTCCGACGGCCACGCAGCCTCGGCCACGTCGTGCCGTCTGACTCTGGTCTTTGACTCGGTCGGCGCCGGCACCCCTTCGCCCAGGATCAGCTCCGTGTCCGGGAAGCTCACGTCGCACACCTATTTCGACATGTCCTTCATGAACCGCCTCCCCAATCTGGGCAACCGGCCATCGCCGGAGGCCACGTCGCCGTACCGGTACACAACCTCCACCAAGCTGTTTAGCCTCCCGGTGGGCGATTTGCCCTGGAGAGAGGAGCGCGCCGAATCGGCCTGGGAGGAAACCATGTTCCCGCTCGCCCGGGAGGAGTCGGTACTGACGCAAGAGAATCCTTCGAGACGTGCGAGCGCCGCGACGTGCCCCGACATGGAGTCGTCGATGGGCTCGAGACCAAGGCGATGCGTTGCCGAGCTCGACATTCAATTCACGATACCCAGGAACAATAGGAAAATGTTTTTGCCGACGTTTCACTCGTGCCGCATATCGCGCACCTACACGCTGCATCTTTGTCTCGCTGTCGGCCAGACGTTTTCCACCCTGTCTCTTGTTGTGCCGCTGCAGATTGGCGTGGAATCCGCGTCGGACAATCGTATACAGCAGCACGAGTTCCGGGCAGCTCCTGGCCTTGCCTTGGTGCGAGGCCCAGACCACGCGAGGCGGAATACGTATGCCGGGCTGCCGGGATATATGCTGGAATCGAGCGATCACGAACTACCAGGCTACTGCTGATGCTCTGACACGAGGTTCATGAATACTTGACAACGGTGTCGACTCTACCAGGCACCATATCCCGACTGCACTACATGTACATTGATGCCTCGTATACGCCGCCAGGCTCTACTTGATACACAAGACTTCGCCGCTTGGCACCGAGAACCAGGCATCGTCCTCGCCCCCCCAGCGCCGCCACGTCTCAGCAACCTCTGCCAACTGGTCCGCCGTCGCAATCCCCGACGCAACCGCCGTGTCGGCAAACGACGAGGCCACCGTCCGCTCTGCCCATAGGCCGCTCCACCAGGCCACCTCCTCGCGGGTGCTGTAGCACCACGAACTCACCGACGACGTGATGGCCTCGGCCGCGAAGCCCGCGCGCCTCGCCCACGCGTGCACCATCCTGCCCGCGTCCGGCTCGCCGCCATTGTGCGCCGCCAGCTTCCCGTACAGCGCCTGCCACGCCTTCATCCCCGCCACGTCCGGGTACCACGTGAACGCGCCGTAGTCGGATTCGCGCGCGGCCACGATGCCGCCGGGCTTGGCGACGCGGCGCATCTCCCGCAGCACTCCAACCGGGTCCTTGACGTGCTGCAGGACCTGGTGGCAGAATACAATGTCGAACGAGTCGTCCGGGTAGCGCAGCGCGTTGGCGTCGCCCTCTACAAAGTCAATGTTGTCGACGGCCCTCGACGCGGCTAGGGCTCGCGCCTGTTCGAGCACCGTGGCCGCGCGCTCCAGGCCCGTCACTCGACCTTCGGGCACATAACCGGCCAGGTCGACGGTGATGGTTCCCGGGCCGCAGCCAATGTCGAGTATGGTCATGTCGGGCTTGATGTGAGGCAGCAGGAAGCCTGCCGAGTTGCGGGCTGTGCGCCAGGTGTGCGATCGCAGCACCGACGCATGGT